GTTTGCCTTTATATGTTACTTGACCTTTTTCCTTTGCAGCTCTTAATATTTTCTCTTTATTCTGTATGTTTGATGTTTTGATTATTATGTGGTGAGGAGACCCTTTTTTTGGTTCAATCTATTTGGTGTTTGGTGTTTTGATTATTATGTGGTGTATTGGCATGTCTTTCTTTAGGTTGGGAAAGTTTTCTTCTATGATTTTATTGAATATGTTTTCTGCACCCTTTAGGTGGGTTTCTTCAACTTCTTCTATACCTATTATTCCTAAGTTTGACCTTTTCAAGGTGTCCCATATTTCCTGGATATTTTATGTTAGGGATTTGTTGGACTTAAGATTTTCTTTGGCCAATGAATCTATTTCTCTAGTGTATCTTCAACACCTGAGATTCTCTCTTCATCTCTTTTATTCTGTCGTCTATGATTTTATTGAATATGTTTTCTGCACCCTTTAGGTGGGTTTCTTCAACTTCTTCTATACCTATTATTCCTAAGTTTGACCTTTTCAAGGTGTCCCATATTTCCTGGATATTTTATGTTAGGGATTTGTTGGACTTAAGATTTTCTTTGGCCAATGAATCTATTTCTCTAGTGTATCTTCAACACCTGAGATTCTCTCTTCATCTCTTTTATTCTGTCGTTTATGCTTACATCTGTAGTTCTTGATCATTTACCCAGCTTTTCTATTTCCAGTATTTCCTCAGACTGTTTTGTTTTATTGTCTTTATTTCAGATTTCAAGCCTTGCACTGTTTGAATGGTTTCCTTCACTTGTTTGGTTGCTTTTTTCTTGACTTTAAAGGTTTTCTTAAGAGGTTTGTTTATTTTTTGCAATTTTTGTTTTGTCTTTTCCTCCATTTCTTGAATTTTGTTTTTGTTTTTTTCTTCCATTTCTTTAAGGGGTTTTCTCATTTCCTCTTTGAGGGTCTCTATCATCTTCATAAAGTTGATTTAGGGTCATTTTATTCTGCTTCATCTGTGTTGGGATGTCCAGGTCTTGCTGGTGTGCAGGCAAAAGACTCTGGTGGGGTCATGTTGACCTTTCTGCTGTTGACTGTGGTCTTATACTGTCGTCTTCCCCCCCCTCCTTCCAATGGGTGCCAGTGGGGTCTCTCCCTCTCCTGGTGGGTATGGGTCCAAGATTCTCTTCCAGTGGGTGCAAGCTGGTCCAATACTCTATGGCTCTCTTCTTCCCATGGAGGCGGGATTAGCACCGTGACTTCCACAGACTCTGGATAGCCTGTTCTACCAGGATAAGTTCCCTATATGAAGACCCTAGGCCTCAGGAGGCTTCAAGAAGGGCACTGGAAGATGGGCCTGAAATGTGCCCACTCAAACAACCATTTCTTAATGAAGCTGGCTGATGTGAACTGAGACACATGGGATATCATCCCAGCATTCACTGTTGACATCAAGTTTGGCACAAGGCTTCATAATGTCTCAGTTCCCTATTCCAGGCAGCTACAATTTTTGGTCATTTTCTCAGTTCTCGTTCACTCCACTATTTCATCAGTAGTTTATAGGTTATATTTAAGCAAACCTAGAAAGGACCCAGATCATTGAGGGGGTGGGATGTCACTGCTTTTTGGCATGGACATGGCCTGGAATCCTAGTACTAGGATTTGAGGACTGAGCAACAAGTTGTTCAAAATACAGAAAAACTGGTGGGCGATTATAATGCTTGTTTTTGGAAAGATTGCTATTTATTTATTTATTTATTTATTTATTTTTAAATTTCATTGTCAAGTTCTAAGCGTGCTACTAGACCAGGAGTTCAATACAAGAAATTAATAATTGAGCAGACCCTGAGGGGGAAAAAAAAAACATCTAATGGCAATTCAAATGTGGCCAAAGAGCTTGGACTGCACAGGGTTTAAGTAAGTTGAATACATTATCATTTAAGCAGTAAGGAATCACCATTCAAAGGGAAAGCCACAGTTCCACCTAAAATATCTGTAGCTTGTGTCTATTGACAAAGCCCAACCAGGACCATTGACCCATGTCAACTTGACATATGAACACATCATTATTCACCTTTAACTGTTCCTTTATTATTTATCCTTAAGGATCTCATATTAATATTAATATTATGATATGAAACATAAATTACCTTAAAGCATCTCATGTGTCCTTTGCTCCTGCAAGGGAAGCTGTTCCATATGGAGTTCCTCCCCAAGAACTTAACTTACCTTGGAGGAAAATGTTCATTCCACATTTGCATTTTGGACCTTAATCCCCTATTTTCCTCCCCTCTCTCTCTCTCTCTCTCTCTCTCTCTCTCTGTGTGTGTGTGTGTGTGTGTGTGTGTGTGTGTGTGTGTGTGTATACCTCTACATATGTGAGCAGGACAGAAGTAAACTTGAGTTGTCCTCAGGTTCTGTCCAACTTGTTCTCCCATATGACTTAAGCTTGACAATTCAGTTATTATGGCTAGAAAATAAGTTCAAGGAATTTGCTCATCTACGACCCTCAACAATTGGATTACGACATAACTAGAGTGTCTGCATGTTTTATGGGGGTTTAAATATAAAAGGTGTGTTCTTGGTGGTTTTTAGCTTCGATAAACCTACTGCCATAAATAAGAAGGTGGAAAGAGATGATTTTTTATTGTAGTTGTTCTGGGTATTTAATTTCTTTTAAATTATCAACAACCACATTGCTATTTATTACTTAAAATTAGGTTGGCAGTCTAAAGTTGACACAAGAATTAAATCCTCCTGTGAAGGCTCAAAATTGGAAGCCTCCAAATTTACAGAACACTTAATACACAAATCACTTGCTTACTTTCTTAATGTTGTCATCAATATTTTAAATTACTTTTTGTTTTGGAATTCTGTAAATTTCTAATGCCCCAGTAAGATGCAGTATTATCATTCTCAGTGACAGGTGAGGAACATGGTGTTATTTTGACATGTGTGAGGCAGGTGATTGGGAAAGAAGTCACCTTAAAGCCGTCATAGGAAGTTGAATTGGAAGGGGTGCACACACACACATGCTGAAAAGTTAGCATGTGGTCATCTTCAATCTCCCCTGTCTGCCCACACTTGGCAGTCCTCCACATCTCACTGCTGCAGGGGTCAGTGCCCACAAAAGTGCTATTCCACTTCTTTGTATTTATTGCCATCCAATATACTTATACTTTTTAATAAAATGGGGAACTAGGAGAATTGGTTGGGGAGATCAATTGTTCCCCTTCTTTCGCTATCTTTCTTGATCACCCATCTCAAATACAGTGAGATGTAGTCATTCAGATACTAAAAATGTTTTCTTGCAGCAGGCACTACAAGGGTTAATAACATTGAAGACATAAACATAGATGAGTGTAAATCTGTCTTTATTGCTTAAAAGGCAGAATTACTGTATAATATGAATTCATCACAAGGACGATGAATCAGATTTCCTGGGTGGGATGACAATTTCTTTATACTCATCATTTCAAAACTGGATTTTCAGGTCCTCATTCTCAGGCCAGTTTGCAGCAGCGGGCAATAGTCCAGTCTATGATTGGGCACAGGCATTGGCAAACGTTTTCATTCTGGACATTCCAAGATCCACAAGCAAAGCCGCAAGAACAACCAGTAACAGTCATCCCTGCATGGTTGTGTGAGATAAAGACATCAGACACCTTCTACCATAAGAGATGGATAATCCATAACTGTTCTTCCTAGGAAGCTCATGCTTATATCTACATTTTGTGGGACATGAAACTATATCGATTTTGAGAGTTATCAGGAAAAAAATCATATAAAAGACTTGGAATTTCAGTGTCTTTCATTTATGGCAAATTCACCTCTGTGTTGACTCCTCTTCTATCACTACAAGAGAAGAGAATGGGAAAGAAAAGAAGGCCATATTCATGACCACACAATTGAAGTTCAGGTAGACCATCATATGTGGGTGTGAAGCAAGAAGTGACTGGAAAAACAAACCCAGAGTCCTTCAGTAGCATCCTAAAGATAACTGAAGACCAGGAAGGTATGTCTAGGCACCTGGGACTATGACACAGTTCTATGGCAATACAAACCTGAGTTAGGAGAAGCTGATATTAGGAAATTGACAGTGTGGACACAAGAACAATTATTCACAAATTATCTTTGAAGAGTTACTCACCAGAAGGACAGGAGGATAGGGTGCCCATAGCCTTGACACTAGTGCAGGAAAGTGTTGTAGTCATAGTTGAGCGACGGCCATCTGAGTAAAAGGAAAAAAAAAGTGATATTGCCCATGTTCTTTCTCACAATTCCCTTTTAAGTCCTCTTCTAACTTGGGTGCTTCTCTGTTTCCATAAGTAGTCTGCTCACTAACTTCTTTGTTTTAGTTTCTTCATTTGTGAAGAGTAAATAGTAAAAAGTAAAAAATATTTCCCTCATAAAGTGGTTTGAAAATTCAGTGAACTAACTAATATTACAGCTGTTTCATAATGTGTTCACAATCACAGGACCTAGCCTCCTTTTCATCCTCATCAAGAACACTGAGCTCTTGTCTAAGAGTTCCAAAAGGGTAGAGTACTGAAGAAAGCCTTAGTCAGGAAGGCAGGGATGAAGTGGACTAAACAGAGGCAGAGATTATAGAATTCAATACCAGGGATTTTAGGTTTTATGAACAGTCAGCATGAGCAAGGATTAGGTTAAGGCTTCTTCAACTCATACCGTGATAGCTGACAAGTTCCTTGAGGCTCTTCATTACAGAGTCTAGGGTCTCCTCAGTATTCACTGGGACCATCAGTTGAAGAAGCGAGATGATGATGAGAAGAGAGCAAATTGTTGTCTTCATCCTATCAAAAGTCAGTATCCTAGAGCTGGAAGAAAAAAAGGTAAAAAGATGAGTTCACTGAGCTCTGGCATGGCTGTGAGGGAAAGAAATATTCTGGAAAGAATAAGGAGAGTGCAGCCTGTAACTGCATTGGCCATTTAGAGAAGCAGAGAGGGTTCCTCCAGAGCTGACTGACTCACCAGAAACTCAGGAAATGTTCCCGGTCCTGACCAGCTGAGATGCTTTAGCACACTGTGGATTGCTGACTGGCCACCCTTAATATATACAAGCTCACCCCAGTGATGTAAAAGCTTTCAGTATGATTGACAACCTGGGTGTCATGTATCACAATTTTATATGAGTTAAAACACTTTGCTAAAGTATAAGAGGTGAATTTTGTGATACTGGGCAAGTAAACCTTCTTCACTTGTCTGGAAAATCTAAAACTTACAAGATTCATCCCCCCATCCAAAGTTATGGGAGAAGCAATCAAATGTTTAATGATCAATTGAACTGCCAACTGGTGACTCTTGGTCCTGGAGGTTCCTGGACAACCTTGGAGAAAACTCTATAGATGCAACATCAGAGAATTGCAACACATTCTGGTATGAGCTTTTCAGTGATTGAGCTGCATTCAAGTTGTCCCAGCCACTGAAATTAATACACGCATGCAGGCACTTGAGAGAGACAGAGACAGAGACAGAGACACAGAGAGAGACTGAGTATGCTCTGTGTCCTAAAAAGTAGTCTCACACAACACACTTGGCACCACAACAGGGACAAGAGAGAACCAAAGCTGTCAGGAGAGAGTGGCGGTGTGTCTCTACAGTGAGTGCCGAGACCTTTTCCCACATGGTGTAAGCATACCTCTTGCTTCATCAGCAGTCGGAAGGGGCTTTGCTGTGGGTGATAAAACATGCAATCACGGCTGAGTTTTCTTCCCAGAGGGAAAGTCTGGGTAAGGTGTCTATAGGAGAAATCCAAGTGGAACTGTTTTCCTCTAAGTATTATAGAGTAATATGCCTGTTCAATAAGTGGGGTCTACTGTGTGAATTCAGAGGTGCTATGAGGTAGGCTAAAGATTTGTAGTAAATTTTATGGTCCTTGAGAGTAACAAGTAAGCAAAGGGTATTGACAAGCTGTAGTGAGGTGGCCTAACCACTGCTTTGTGTAATCTACTATCAAGATGGCTAGTCAGTGGGAATTTTCTTGTGTAAACGAAAAATTACACAGGGAAAGTAATATATGGCTATTATGTTCTGTATTAGCCTCTGGTTTGGGTGTAAATTTGGGGGTACAAGAGAATGACATGGAGAAATCGGCTTACCCAGTTCTTTTTTTTTTCATTGGTTCATTTTTATTTTAATAAGAAAGAAAATTATTTTACATGTCAATCCCAGGTCCGTTTCCCTCCCCTCCTCCCCTGCCCCCCAGCTAACACCCTACCTATTCCATACCCTTTCTACTCCCAAGGGAGGGTGAGGCCTTCCATAGGGGGGTGTCTTCAAAGTCTGACTTACTCTGTAGGGTTAGGGCCAAGGCCAACCCCTTGTGTCTCAGGGAGGCTCAGGGAGTATCCCTCCATGTGGGATGGGCTCCCAAAGTCCATTCTTATGCTAGGGATAAGTACTGATCCACTACAAGAGGTCCCATAAATTTCCAAGGTCTCCACACTGACACTCACATTCATGGGGTGTGGATCAGTCCCATGTTGGTTTCCCAGCTATCAGTCTGGGGACCAAGAGCTCTCCTTTGTCCATGTCAGCAGTTTCTGTGGGTTTCACCAGCCAGGTCTGGACCCCTTTGCTCATCACTCCTCCTTCTCTGCAACTGGATTCCAGTTCAGTTCAAAATTTAGATGTGGGTGTCTGCTTCTACTTCCACCAGCTGCTGGATGACCTTGCCCAGTTCTTACAGCTGGCAGAAATGGAAGAGAGAGAAAGTATAAGTTAGGTTTGTGGTAACGATAATGGTATTCAAATTCTTGAATCTATAGGAAAAGTAGTAAAAGGTAGTAAAGAAAAATTAGTTAAATAAATAAACACATTAAGGGCTATATAAGTGATGGTCATTCTTAGTTCACCAGGAAAAATAGGACTATGATCACTGGAGAATTAAAAACCACTAAACTCAAAAGAAATTTGCTTTGTAAAGAACCAGAAGACAATTACAGGGCATTAATTACATTGTATATATCCCTTGTGGGGATGGGATCCATGAGAATTTGGAAAGGCTCTATCAGACCTACATGATTCAAGACCTACAAACAAACTGGGTTTATAAACATGGTTTAAACCGTTCAGGAGGAGATGAAAGTAAAAAGCAAATGATGAGTCTGTTCAGGTCACCCCCAAAAAATCATAAATCCCTAGGGGGAAACTGATAATAGGCCAAATGTTGTGCTTGTGGCTTTTTGAAAGACTTTAAAGCCCAAGCAAAGGTTAAAAGTAGTGAAAACTGGGAAGGAGGAGTACAAGTCCTCCCCAACACAACCCTGCAGGGGAAGGTGGATGCCATTGTATGGAAACCACTCTATCTGCTTCTCTGAGTGGGTGGCCAATGAATCATGGGATTGATGGTTGTACATGGCAACTGGAGGCCTCCTGCCAAATTATAGATTTGTGAGTCTGTTATTAAGCACAGTTACTTAGATTTGGGTGGGTTTTAAACCAAAATTACATTCATTCATGAGCATTCCCCCAAAGCACTTGGGGAAATAGGTGGATTAATCTGAGGATAGAACAAGTAAAAAGAACCAACAAGCTTGTCCTAGGGGTGAGCAATAATTCCCCTAGAGAATTTTGTACAATGAGGTGTGCTGGTAATAGAACTATCCAGCTAATTAGGGACTCTCACCTATACCAGGAATGTCCAAAGGACAGATGATGGAAATTGCCAGAGATATAGGTCAGGTCAGTAGTCTACCAGACCCTGGGTGTGTTACAGCCAAGCATGTGGAGTTCTGTTCCCACTTGTCCATGGGCTCAACTAATTTGAAATGTCCCCATCAAGCCTTTGGAGATGGGGAACTGCCTGGAGGTCTCTTTGAGTTTCCTCAGTGGAAGGAAGTCAATTCTATTGAGTACTGGGTTCTTTGCAGGCTGTATTACATCTTGCTAATGAATTTTTTTAGCAATTCCTGGACATCATAAACAACTTACATTTACCTGGAAAGGTCAACAGCAGACAGTTATAGTCCCCAAGGTTACCTTAACAGTTAAAATCTTTGCCATGGGATGTTTTCCTGGGTCCTTGCTGTGTCCTGGTAACAACTCTCTATTTAAAAAAGTAGATGCTAATCTCTGAGAGTTTTTCAGATTAAATAATATCTAAGATGTTTCATGTACCTATATGAAAACAAGAGTAAAAGATGAATCCATACAAGGTACAATGGCCAGACACAGCTATAAAATTCTTGGGAATATTATGGTTCTGTTAGACATGCATGATACCTGAACAAGTTATTTTTTTAAATTCCTGCAGTATCCTGTGCCTGTAAATTTAAAGGAGCCATAGGAGCACCTGGAATATTGGAAGATTTCCATTTTTCCCAAGTATCCCATCCTTTGTCTAATTTGGAATACAGATGGGTGTTATTTTGGATTGGTCTGAAAAGAATCAAGTAGCTTTTGAATAAACTAACAACCTCAAAAGGCATGACAAACAGCTGTGTATCTTATTACCCCAGTGGGAGTGGCAGTAGTGTATGGGACACACACATAAGCTGGTTTGTCTCATGAGGAAGTGGCAGATACATTCTGTAAGGCCTATGTCTTCTAGCAAGGAAATCAAATATACCATCGCCTATGTCGGCACTGCTACAGCCATAATATAAATATTTCCATTCAAGTGAGTTACACATGAATCCATAATCAAAGTTCTTATTTAGCTCATTTACACGTATAAACAACCACAAAACATTGGCTGTTGTCATCATTTCATAAACAATGGTATACAGAAATTGACTGAGAAAACCAAGAAAACAGCACTTCCACCTGCCTTACAACCCTGTTGGGCATGGGTTAATTTTAAAAACATATATAGCTTATTAAAGCAATAGATGAAAGGTGTCATATATTGGGTCAAAAGGACATTTCCATATGTTATTAAATATTCCAACTACGAGAAACATGCCTATAAGTTATTGGCCATTGAGGCCTCTGAGCTCCCATCACCACAAAGAGTATCGCCATTGCTGTTTTTTTCAAGGAAGAACAAGATGATACTAGCCTTTGCTGAAGACTCCACAAGTTCTGGTTACAGGGCATAAAGAAATAAAGTTTAGGTTGAGATGGAAGATCTCCCCCTACTACTAGGCACTGGGGAAAAGTTGTCATGAATAGTCCCATCAGGTTATGAATCCTACTTGCTACAGTGCTAAATGTGAGTCAGGTTGTTGCTTGAGCAATAGTGGCTCACTATGGTGGGTTCAGTCAATACCATAGGGGAGAGTTCATATCTTCTATATCTTTCCCTGTAAGTCAGGACAAAAACCTGCAGTTGGGAAGATCATAGGCCCTAATAAGGAAGCTGTTGCTATTCTTTTGTCCAAAGGATGTCGTACATCTCTCAAACTGTCTTTTAAATACTGGTGCTTAGAGAAAAAGATTCTGTTTTTAATGAATGTTGTATCACAGAAACTCATGCTTCCTTGTGAAGCCCCTGAGAAAAAGCGATTGTTGCTGTGACTTAGTGGCCCAATACTTAACCATACAGATTGTCCATAATGCGTGAGCAAATACAACTTGGAAGATTATGTATAAGAGCATAGGTATTATGTTGCACCCAAAGCCCTGACCCTTAAGAGACTGAAAAAGACCAGATCCAGGGCAAAAGCAAAGAGTCTTAAGAGTTAACTAAGGCCTCTCAGTCAGTCTGATGCTGCAGAAGAGCAGGAAAGACCCTGAGGGACATCAGGTAGAAGCTTTTACAGAGGAAGGCAAAGGGGTCAGGAAAATTCAGAGCTGCATGGTTTCAGGCTTGGGATTAGCTAAACTCAGGTTAGAGGTATCTGATCTGAGTTAATTGGCTATTTGGGGGTTGAAGGAAGTTACAACATTCTGGTGGCATTACACAGCTACTTAGTTTTTATCTTATCTCAGTAGAAGGGCATCTACAATTTGTAAGTCTTGTCTCTAACTGGC